ACGACAACATCTCGGACATCATCTACCAGACGATCAACTACGGCATTGCGATCATCGGTGGTATGGTGTCGCACTACCGACAAGAGCTCATTCGCCGGCGCAACTATGCGCTCAAGCTGCCGTTCACGGGCCTCGACGATGAAGAGCCTCTGGACCTCTTTGGCGAGAGTTACTCGGAAGAGCGGCTCATGGACCCATTCAACTTGAGCTTCCGCAACCTCGACGTCGAGGAGTGCTTTTGCCGCATGTGGTACCTCATCGACCCGCACCCGTACGAGAACCCGAACCGCGGTGACATCCACGAGAACGTCTACATGACGATCCGGTTCGCCGTCCTCGGCGTCTTCCTCTCGCAAGTCGTGCTCGGCATCCAGGACATCAAGCTCCTCTTCATGAAGGACTTCAAGTTTGAGTACGGCATGGCGGCGATCATCCGCTTTGCGATCGTCGTGCCGCTGTACCTGGCCAGCTTTTACTTTATGTACATCCTCGGCCGCAAGTACTTTGAAATGTACCTGCGCAAGTCGGCGGCGGAAGCCGAGACGTTTGAGTTTGCGATCGACATCAACGAGAACGAGGCGCCGACGTCGGACGACAGCTTTAAGGGCTTCAAGTACGCGTCGACGCGCATGAAGAAGAAGCCGACGACGCTCACCAAGAACAAGAGCATCAAGGAGAAGATCGAGGGCCAGAAGGAGCGCTGGGTCGACACAAAGGGCGGCTACGTGCGTACGGCGCAGATCTTCCTCACGATCATCATCTCGCTGCACGTGATCTTGATGATGATCCTCCTGCTCCAGGTACATACTTATTTTCGACTCGCATTGTCTCATCTTGGTTGCTTCTCTAGGTCGGTCGCAGCTTCATCTACACGCACTCGAGCAAGCAGAAGAACGCGGCCAAGCCCAACGTCTACTTCATGGGCTTCCTCAACGCGCTCCTCTCGGTGCACCGGTCGGGCTTCAAGATCCGGTTCGTCTACTCGTCGCGCGTCTCGTGGGCGATGGTGATCCTCTTCATCTTCTTCGCTTCGCACAACTTGCATTTCGACCCGTGGGAGTATCTCTGGGCCGAGTACTCGTGCTACCTCGTCGCGATCCAGTTCCTCGGCATGATGATCTCGCACGAGGAAGAGTCGCTGCGTCGGTCCTTTTTCGTCCTCAAGTCGATGCGCATGCTCGAGTTTGAAAAGTGGTTTGCCGGCGTCCTCCGCATCCAAAAGGGCGTCCGCAAGTTCCTCGCGCGCCACCGCGAGCGCCAGATCGCCAAGGGCGAGGTGCCGACGACCAAGGCCGTCTCCAAGCCGCCGGCACCCAAGGTGGCCCACGCCCAAAGCTTCCTCGCGATGGCCTCCAAGATGGGCGTCCAGGCCCAAGCGATCCAGATCGCTGTCGTCCTCTTCGACGTCATTTGGTCGGCCGCCAACCCGTAGGAGGTTGTTGTCGGTCTCTGTATTCTAAAAACCTTCCGTTTTCATGTTCTGGTGTGGCTGGCTCCTTGAGAATGGATGGTCAG